TGCTGTGCTTTTTATAAATCTAAAGCTACAAATGATGCTGCAAAGGATGCTGCAACCATCTCTCTCAAAGTAGTTCCCAAATCTTCCATCGTTCTCAAATTATCTCAACTGTCAGCCTGCAGTCACTGGGATTGCTGCTAATTTCCTGTCATCTTTGAGAGTGGAAAAGAGGTAGATCCTACTAAGTCTGGTTACCATTTCCATTTGCTTTTTATAAATCTAAAGCTACAAATGATGCTGCAAAGGATGCTGCAACCATCTCTCTCAAAGTAGTTCCCAAATCTTCCATCGTTCTCAAATTATCTCAACTGTCAGCCTGCAGTCACTGGGATTGCTGCTAATTTCCTGTCATCTTTGAGAGTGGAAAAGAGGTAGATCCTACTAAGTCTGGTTACCATTTCCATTTGTCTCCGGTGTCTGGGTGGTAGTCTACTAGCGTGCAGGTGAGCACAGCATTTTCTGTGGAGAAGACTGCTCTGTTATGCTGTCCAGACAAAAATAGTAAGGGAAGAGCTGCATGGGGAAACAATGAAGCAAACTAAAAATGGACAAATTACCTTCTCCTAATGCAAACTTAACCACAGAAATTCAGAAGATACTAAAGATGTGTCTCATGGGATGGTTCTTTAGTGTCTCAGAAACCGGGTAATTCCAGGCCCCCCAAGACTGTCAGTGAACAATTCAAAATTAAGGTTACCTCCTCTATACTCCGTATTATTTCTCCAATCGCTCAAGTCAATTTCTGCTGTTCCAGCTATAACCAGTTCCAGTTCTCTGGCGTCAAACACAGACACGAGCCTCGCATCAACCACCTGTGAAAGGAAACAAAACGCATCGCAACATTTCTTCATTTATTGATTTTTGCCTCCCCATAAAAGGCTTGTCTGTTACCAAGACATTTATCAGGTAACATTTCTCTCACAAATGGAAAGAATTAAAGTTTTTTTCTTTTTAAAGGCAAATAAATGGACTTCTTTTTCTTATGTTCCATTCAGTTTCATTAGAGGATCACAGTGATTGGGAGAGAACTTTATTGGCAAATAATACTGAATTATTTCAGGACAAATAAAGTTCAATACATTCAATTTAATTGTCCATGTTAAAACAGGTAAGAGAGAAATACCTTGAAATACACTCAGTCTACCATGTTACACTGAGTACGGCACGCACACAAAAACCCTCAAAGGCCCAGTGAAGAAACAGATGGGTCACTTCAGCAAGCATTCAATACTAATCATACAAATAGTGATCAATAGTATTTTCCAGTTTAAGGAAGACACATAACCATAATGTTTAAGTCAGTGACTAACAATGATTCTCTTCCCCCCACCCCGGCCCAATATCTGTAAGGGCACTTCTGATCATATATGTATCTGCTTTCTGGGACTCTGTATTTGGGAAATGTATATGAGGAGAAAAATATTTTGGGAGGATAAAGGAAGAAAGCAGATTTCATTTTGGAGTTTTTTACCTCATAGAAACCACGAACTAGACTTTCTGTCTGTTGTACAACTCCTCTCTCAATTCTCCATTTCACCATTCTTTCTATATATTCTTTCTTGTTCTTTTCAGTGACTGGGATGTTGGCACCTCCTGGCTTTAATTCCCGTTCTGTGATCTTAGAAAAAAAATGACCAAGTGACAACACAATATTATAAAGATAAAAGAAAGAATTATAATAATTTAAACTTTTAAGTTGAAGTAATTCCTCAAAAGCACTAGCCAAGACTGACTTTAGCAAACTGGAATATGTGAAATAAGAAAACATACAACAAATCTTTTTTTTTATAAAATCGTATTTAAAATCCCATTTAGTCTGAAGAATCTTCATATATAGTATGAAGAATAAGCTGAGAAGAAGAAACAATCTTTACAGCGATTAAAGTAATGTTCTAAATAATATCATAACAAAGATGGTGTAATACCTTTGAATACTAACTCTGCTTCAATTAAATTCAGGTAAACTACCTCCAGCAGAGCAATCCAAAATTTTGATTTTTCAGATAGTCTCCAGAAAATCTTCTTAGCCAGAAAGACATGTTTGACCGGTTACAAATAGTAATTCCTCCTTAGATTTCAACATTGTTTTCATCAACCAGAGTTTTATAAAAACAAGTTCAAATCAGCATGGAATGACAATCATTTGTCTATCCAAATAAATGTTTATCTAGCAGTAGAATACACAAAGGAAATTAAATTAAGGATCTTGCACACCTGCCCAAAAACTTCTTCATTTACAGTAAATGTGAGATCTAGGATATCATGTATATCATTGTCTTTCATCCACTGCAAACTCTGGTGAAACTCCTCGTCGAGGTATTCCAGGTCACTCAGGTCACAGAGTCTAACATAAACAAGAAGAAAACACACAAATATAGACGACAGCAGTAGCGTGTGCTCAGTAACTAAACTCAGATAGGACAGTCTTGAAAAACAGACTGAGAATGAGAGCCAAAAGAAAAAGCAATAGAATAAAGAAGACACTACTTCAAATCTCTGTTCATTTGCCTAGTACTAGCAGTTAACACAAAACGGTTTTGTTAATATACAAAACTCCAGAATTTATTAATTTGAAGACACATTTCTCTTTAAGCTTATGGTGAGTCTGTCCCATGTTTCCTGTGAAGAATATTTTGGAATTATGAGAATACATAGATTGAAGAGACAAAAAATTCAAATCATAAAAGAAATGTAAGTTTTTACAACAAGCAACTACTATCCTTTTTGCTTATGTGACTACACTACCAGCTCTCTCATCTTGTCGTTGTGCAAAGAGGTCTGTCCAGATACCCTGCCTACCACAGAAATATCTTTTTAGTTTTTGCCATATTTCCCCTTACCTGGTCCTTCTTTTACAAATCCAACCTATAAGCCAACTGCCCTTGCTGTTTTTAACAGTTACTACTCCAAGCTTTGAACATGTTAGCTGTTAATAATATTTAATACCGTGGTGGCAATTTCTGCCATACTTCTTAACTCCTTAAATCCTGTTCTGTGAAATAGGACACTGGGGCTATTCATTAAGTAAGGTGTTTTTCAGCTGCAGGTTTCCCTGCCTGCTTCTATTCTTGGGTCCGTATGAAGTCAGAAGAAAGCCCTGTACTTTTAGTTGGACGCTCAAGTGTAGTTTAAGTGATATCCTGCAGTAACAGCCCCTACATCAAAGCTGATGGATTGGGCACAATGTCCCGTCCGCAGAGGTAGTCTGGATGGCTCATCAGTTCTGAGGAAAGCAAAGGTCCAGGGCTTAGATGGGGAAGTTGCATGAATTAGGCTGTGTACAAAGGTGGCCGCCCCATCATTTTTAATTTTACTGTTTAGAGAACCGCCAAATTAAACAATTAATTTAATTTGGCAGTCACATCTGGGGTAAGTCCTCATTGTTATTAAAATGGTTCTGTTAGCATTTAGGTACTTTTAAAATATATATGCAATAGGAATGGATGCATTACTCCACACTATTAGAATGTAGGATATTTTATACAAAAAATATCCTTCCAGACTTCTCAAAAACAGCTTTCAAATGGAGGACAAGAAGCGAAGCACCTTAAGTTCGTTAGCTCTTAAATTCCAGATGTGCTGAGCAAGTGCAGCTCTCATTGTTTCAACCAGAACAGGAGTAGTAGTTCTGAAAACGAAGTCTAAAGTGTATCAAAGTAAAGCTCCTCAAAATGGAGATTGCCAACAATCAGTCTACCTCTGAGAATGGCTCTTGCAGTCTAAGTTACAAAGTGATTCATATCCTATCCTGTGAGTCATTACAAGACAAATGAATAAGAACTCTATTAATATCTGGAATAAACCCACAGCATTTCATTGTACAACTTCAAACGTAAGAGTTTGTAGAAGCAAGCTGATAACATGGCTAAAACAAAACCTGAGGTTTTCATACTGATCAGAAACAACATCCTGAGTTATTAGGTAACTGGCTAATAACCATAAGCAGAAACAAGTAAACTTTTTTAAAAAGTCCTGGATTGAAATGAAATGATTAAATTATGAATAATGGCCTGTCTTCTTTGACAATAAAACATCATAATTTATCGATATACAAAATGGCATCGTCCATAGGGAAGGAACCAAACAAAAAAAAAGACAGAATATTCTACTCACATTCGGAGGAGGGCTTTATAAAAGGGTCGTGTAAAAAAGGCATCTAGCAAATACTGATGTATCAGAGCAAGACCAAGAATTCGACCACTAAACCTGAACCTGGAAGAGAAAGAGTTACAATCGTTATACTGAAACTTTGTGGTTTGTACACTGCTCTGTCATCAAAACTTACATATATTTCCAAACAACATTTTAAAATCAGATAGCTATGTCTAAATTGTGGTATTTTTTTTTTTTCCTTGCGTTTCTCTTACATTCTCAGTAAGGCACAGAAAAAATGCAAGTCTGCAGGGTGTGGAAAATCCCTCAGATACCTAAGTGGCAACTTCTCAAAAATGTCAAATCCATATTACCCCAATCAACCCCTGCCAGACTAGCCTCTTTATAAAAGCGTATCTTCCAAAATGATAGGCCACCGTCTATTTTCTTTACACACCCCATATAGGATTAACTTGTTTTCACGCTACTCGGAGGCCAAAGGTTCTTCTACCCTTTCCCAGTCTGACAGTTCTTGCTGTCTGTCTTTTCTGCTTACAATGGCTCCTTGCTCCCTCTTCTGACTGGTGATTATGGAGTTCTATATATAGTTTCACAAACAGTGGCTGGAAGCATTTTTATGTATCGCTGTGCTCTCCAGCCCTATATCAATGGGATCTAAATGATCTCCTTCTCTCCCCTCTCTCTTTCTTTCC